TACACAAAATATATGAGAGCTATCGGTAAATAGCATATGCATGCACCATATGAGCAGTTCCATTCATCGTCCGAGAAAGAACTGTCTTACATTTACTATGAACTTGGCGATAGCAGTAAACTGTATAAATACACAAAAGATATGAGAGCTATCGGTAAATAGCATAAGCATGCACCATGTGAGCAGTCCCATTCATTGTCCGAGAAAGAACTGCCCTACATTTTTTACGAACTTTAAGGCCAAATACTAACACTTACGAGCAAAAATTGATAAATACAGAATCAGCGAGCGGCAAACACGGTGCAAGCGGGAGCAACGGCGGGTTCAACATGACGTGGCTGTAACACTCCACACACTTGCCCTTCCCACACTTACCTGTACTATTTCACATGTTGTAGATTACCCTATCCTCGCTATATTTACGGTGCTTTAATCCACTATTCCAGTGTGCCGATGTGAACCTCTTACTCTCTTCTGAATATGAACCACATCCTACAGGATATAGGTCTATATTTTTTACTACACAAGTACTTAACGCTTTTTTTCTCGACACAGTGTTCTATATATGCATCACATATTCTGTACTTGCTAACGTCTTGTTACTCACCTATACTTTCTCCTCGACTTCTTTGTGCGTTTAGTCTTCCTAGATTCTGATTGGCTGCGACTCTTGTGTGGTCGTTTGGAGGGTATCTCGCGATCCGCTCTGCGGGAGCCCAAAAATAAACTCATCAGGAATTGACAGCAACCAAATCTTCCGACAAGTAATTAGGTCGTAAAATAAAAATCTAACAATTTACGAATACAAAAGGCACTACCACACACACATACTTGGCGAAGAACGACTTTGAATCTCTTGAAGTGTCATCATTGCGTCCTGTAGCAGAACCATCGACACGTTTCGTCTGGTCAGTCGTAGATTCTACGACCCGAATGGAATTGGGAAATGGAGAGACATTGTCACTACATACGTTAATTTGTGCATGCATATAATATGCCACCTCTTTAGGGATAATAAAAATATACTAGTGTGTGTGAAATATAAAAGTGTTGACTCTTGGATGCACAGATTGTGTCTGGTATAATCCGTATAGTGGGCGTTCACAGTAGCGTAAGCTTGGGCCATAGATATCATAGATGTAGAAGTATCGCAGATATCGATATATTTCTGATTATTATTGGGTGGAAGCATTAGAATAAACTTGGGTTCCCTCATTCCTGCCTATATTACTGCTCGGCATACTGCGTTATAGTACGAACGTGCCATTTCGGTGCTAGCATATCCGGGGGTTCAAATTTGGTCTTCGTGAAGGTAGTTGAGACGTATGTATTATACTAACGTAGTATTGTATGTCTATACACAGGTACACGCACCAAATATGGAAATGTAGATAACGAAATGCGTATGCAGAAGTTTACATACTAGTGTATCAGGCTTATAAAAGCAGTCACCACTCTAGGCATGTGCAATGACCATCGGGAGAGGTTCATATTAACCTTGAGCGTGGTAGGTAGTACAGTTTTCTAGTCAGTCTGCGTCACTGTGCAGATATGCGCAGGCATTTCTCCACAGTCGCAGTAATACATCTACCACTATGAATTTTAGTTTGACGGATGTCTTAATAAAACGGGATATTTCGCGCATTCAACCAATAATATAGTCATTGAGTTTATATGAGAACTTCGGGTTGATGTTTAGCCTGTAGACGCACGACGTGAACCCTAGCGGGTCTACAAACACAGAAAAGAATGAAGACTGATTTCACACAAGAAAAAGATAGCTCAGACAATAATCAAGAGCTATGTACATGTCTGCATCGGCCGCCATGCTTTTACGGTCGATTGAGACGTCACTCAACGGAACACACCGCGGGAACATGTTCCGAGTTCACGCATGTGCATATTGATCAATTGTCGGTAGAATACAAAATAACAAATATTTCTCAGGCTGGAAATACCCACAAAAGCAGGTAACTACACAAAGATCAGTCCACCTACCTTTAACCTCCGCGCCCCCATCGTCGCTATCCGATGAAATCTCACTCGACGCTTCACTGGACGTACTGCTAACGTCAACGATCACTTCCGACTCCTTCTCTGCTCCCAAAGTTGTGCGTAACATATTACGACATTGGAAGGTCAGATGACCGGCTGAGTAGGAGGTATATAGAGTGTAGGTGTTAATCGTATATAGGTGCAACGTGTGATTTGAGGGAATCTATCAATATGTTCAAGTTTTATGGCGACTTTAAAGGTCTAAACGACAAATGCATAGGGGAGATGTCACGTATAGGGATATTGTCCGATACATACTCAGTATACTCAAATGTATCGGTAAAATTAATCACAATATGCATACCCACTTTCACAGACACAGACACGGACACATACAAAAAACAGACACAGACACAGACACAGACACAGATACTTATATATAGATATATATATAATATAGATATAGATATATATATATATATATATATAAATATATAATATATATATATAAATATAGATATAGATATCGATACATATACACACACAC